TAACCCTCCGCACTCCACGCTGGCCTTTTCACCCCCCTTTATCCTTGTGCTGGGAATGTTGATCGGAGTCTGCCATATTGTTACGCAGTCCTACTTCCTTAGGTCTTAGCACAGTCTCTCTCTTGCCCCGTAAGATCCGTCTGCCCTCTCTCATCACTCGACCCCTGCCACCCCATCTGTGCCAACTTGAGGCGTTATTAGCCCTACCCTGCGTCTGGGTGACCAATTCGAGGCTCAAGCCTGTTCATCACATGACGTCTTCTGGTGAGATTGACCTACGAATCTCTTCATCATGCACTTCCATATGAATTGAAAATCTTGACAGCCAACTTCATATCTTAGCATAAAGTAACCAACAAAAAGTATCTGAGACCTCATTCGGTTCACAAAATCGGGTATAAGCTGTGAGTACCTCTGCAGCCGGCCATCATTGGTTTACTGTATTGTTGCGGCTTTTCTTTATGATGATGTCTGTCACAAAAAATCACGGGTTCATCGGAGTAGCAGGATCGTAAACCGATGTCTTCTTCTCACAATTGAACAGTCTGTCCTCATCCGGTTTCCAGTCAGCCCAATTCACAAATTGCTTCCAACCCACATTTCCTCTCAAATGAAAGGTTTAGTTACAGTAAAGCATCAATACACTTATCGAAATCCAGTTTCTTTCCATTTATCCGATTTTCTACGTCTTCCCAGCAGTCACCTGCCCGACTCGAGTCTTGCTCTTTTCATCCTACTCGATGATTTTGCAGTTCTGCAAATGCATGCTATTTTCGCTTCAGACATCATCATTTCGTCTGTCATTGTTCGGCCTGTAGTCCGTGAAGCAAGAAAGCCGGAGGAGAGAGATAGCCACCGAGTGAGTGAGCCAGAAAGGGAAAAATGGGGCGATAGAAATGAAGAGGTAAATATAACCGAAGGAAAGTCAGTCTCGTGTTTCCAGTCCATTTTTGCTCTCGGGCGGGACGAGACGGGCCCGAAAGGGGGCTCAAGCAGACGAGCCGGTTTCGGGAGGTAATTCAATTTACGGCCAATTACTCGACCCAATGGAACCGTTTGCCAGCTCATTTGACATCTTCGCCTGGCCCCCGCCTCCCCTCAAGGGTCTCCTCGTTTCAGCCTTTTTGCAACAAGTTGGCAACAAGGCCATCGGTCAGAGGCAATCATGTCTGCGTCTACGTCCGCCCTCTTTCGTGTGCGTCTGTCCGAATGTCTGTGCGATGTTCCATTCGTCCGGTTGCTCATCCACGCATCCACGCCCATCAATTCACTGTGCACTCGACCACTTGTGCTGTATTCACGTCGGAGGCGTGTACTTGTCGGCCTGTTTACACTTTGAATCATGTGCTTCAGTCAACTTGACCGATTGAGTGCGCTTTCAGAGTGGACGGGGTGGCTGGCCGGTTGTGTGTTTGTGTGTGTGTCTGTGTGTATGTAGATCTGTTGGCTGGAGACGAGTGAAGTGGGACAGGGTGGAGAGATGTCTTTATGGTCAAACGAGTCGGAGGAAACTTTCAACCGGCCAGCAGCACTCCAGAAAGCACAAAGAGGCGAAAAAACGCGTCTTAACTCGGGGCCAAACTGGTCTGGCGGGCCGGACAAAAGAGGTGAGCGCCGGAGGATGTCCCGAGGCAGCAGGTCGGACGGAGGCTGACCAGGGCATGGGGTGGTAGGGGTTGTCGTGAGGTCTGTACTCGTTGCGGCATTATTAATGAACCGGTCGAAATGAGGCGAGAACACGCTTGAGGCCGGTCTGAAGTCGACCGTTCCAATCTCTACCGAGTCGACATGAAGCCTGCCCCGCGAAGATGGCTCCAACAACGTGGGCCATTGACTCGCCGGAGCCCCGGGACGTCTTGAACTGCACGTTTCACTGCCCTCAGTCAAATGAAGGTCGAGACTTTGGTGTGACTCGATCTGCCATTTTGACGAGACAGTTGATGGAAGGGAATTCGGGAAAAAGTCGACGTTGGTATTGGAAAACCCGGTTTTCGACATGTTCGTGAATAAGCCCGCAAGTCCTTATCTCCACAACCCTCAAGTCATAGTGACTAAAATTGCCATCATTTCAGCAGGAATGTGAACTATCAGTCATCAAAGCGTGTAATGTGGTTGCCTTGGCTTGACGAATTTGTGGACTAAAGAGTCATTGAGTTGAGCCAGGCAGTTTCTGGACCACTTTTGTCCGATCCGACGGATCCATGTACATCAAGACAAGATGGGCTTAAAGAATTTA